GAGAGGGAGAGGGAGAGGGAGAGGGAGAGGGGAAGAGAAGGAGACAGAAGAGTCAGACACAGAGGGGCAGATACACAGAGAGACAAAGAGAGAATCTGAGTGTGCCCTTTGCCTTCTCCTTGGCACACCTTGGCATGGGCTGTGTCCCCCACCCAGACCGCCCTCCTCACCTCCCCACTCACCCAGGTGCACCCATCTTACGGCTCTGCTTCCTCTCATGGGCTTGGAGCTTCTCTAGCCTCCCAGTCCCCTCGGACTACCCCGCCTTGTACCATGCATCCTCACTCAGCACTCTCATGGGGATAGCACCTGACTCCCTATCTCTGCCATCAGGGTCACAGCATAGGGCCTCAGGACCCGGGAGTCAGGGACCTGGCTGCACTCTGGTGTCACTGTAGTGACACGGAGTAAGGCTCTGCCCCTCTCCTGCCTCAGTTTGCTTGAGGTGCAACAAGGGAAACTGTATTCCAGCTCATTTAACTGGTGGGGTCGAGGCCAGCACCGAGTGGGGGTGTGGGGGTGGCATCTTCCCTAAATGAGGTGGCAAGGGGTGGCACAAAGAGGGTTCTAGGATGGGTCATCCTCATTGTTACCCAAATGCCTGGCATCATCCACAGAGCTGCCCTCAGTCTCTACCTCCCTCCTGCCCTCTCTTCCACCTCCCAGGAGAAATCCTCCAGCCCCAGTGCACCTCTGAGAACTGGGCCCAGAAAAGGGAGCAGCAGAGGGTGGGAGAGGGTGTTGCTCCTCACCTGGGGGAGCAGGTGGAGGAGTGAGTCTCTTTACCTGCTGATCACCTGCTGACCGTAGCTGTCTTCAGCTCTCTTGGCCCACACTCCCTGCCTGGGGACTCCTCCCAGGCCCTAAATCCCCTCGTGTCCACTGGGACCTGACTGGCTGGACCCAGGGCCCCCAGCCAGTTCCCTGGAAGTAGGAGGGTGTAGTGGCCATTCGCAGGCATCTTTGGAGTGAGTTCAAATGGGCTGTGCATGTGGGTGGCCCTTCCCTCCTCCTGGCCACTGGAGAGAGGAAATGAAGACCAGCTCGTAAGTAGTTTCAGAACAGCCCCAGGGTGCGGTGAGACAGAGGAGAGAGGCAGACAGAGCCAGGACTGCACAGAGCACAACTGACTGGGGAACTTACTGGCAAAAATGTGATCCTGGGCGGCAGCAAGAGCAGTTGGATGTCTACAATTTGGGTCAGAAAGGGGCATATTTATAGCTTAGAACAAACATGACGTCATCTTGCTGGAATGTATCCACTTATCTTAAGATAATATCAAAGACTCAGGCTCATCCCTGGAGCTAGGAGTCTGTCATAAAGCTCCACATACCACCCTTATGGCTTAGTATGTTATAGTTGGCCAGGAAAATATGCAGGAAAATCCAATTAGGGTTATTCTGAGGCAATCATGGCTGTTACTTAGGATGGCTGTTGTTCATACGCTAATGAATCCATATGCCCCACGTTTTGTGATGGGCGCTCACAATCCCCTGCAGCCTTCTCTTCTGTGAGGAGCCTAAGCCTATGAGGAGCCTTAACACTATGTGGGGAGATGCTACAAGATCACTTGTCCAGCTGGGAAGCAAGCAGGATCCAAGGCAATAAACCAACTTGGGATAACCGGGCACCTGTTTGTTTCCCATTGCCATTGGGTCTTTTGGGTACAATACCAGGCCACCGCATCCATTGGTGCACACCTTTCTCCATCTTTAAGGCATGGTGTGGTGCCACACTGACCACCTGGTGTCCAGCCATGGGTCTAGGGAAATCGAGTTCAGAGTCCTTGGTATAATTAGCTCATTCCCAACACAGTGCTGGCAGACTCAATTGCCCATACTTGGGGCTATCCATATGCATCCATCCCAAATATTTTCAAGTCTTCCAATTCTGTGAGTGCTCAGTTTCTTTACCCCTGAAGTTCAGCATAATTTCACACAGGCTCATCCATGGGGACCTGGGTAAATGGAGAACTATGGCCTGGGTTACTCACGTTGGCATTGGGATACATTGAAACTGGTTACATCTCTGGTGTTTGTGGTGTTTGGCTTCTGCCAAGCCTCCAATATATATGTATTAGAACCTTTCAGTCTGGTTCTTGGAGAGGCGATACCTTCCAAGGTAGTCCAGATGAAATGGAAAAAGCAGTCCAGGTACCCAGGTGTTGAGCATGTGTACCAGTCAGTGCTTACTAGAGAAACAGATTTAATGCAAGATATACAAATATATAAGAATTTATAAGATTGACTTACAATGGCCTCTTACAGTGTTGGGTGTGGAAAAGTACAAAAGGTCTGTCTGTGCACTGGAGACCCGAAGGATCCAGTCCAAGGGCTAGAGTTCACTGTAGTGTCCTGTGTGAGTCCATATCAGGAGGGCGAAGGGTCTACGATGAAAGGCTGAAGAGTGCACTGGAAGCCAGGGAATGACATCTGAGGTAAAGACAAAGACTAGAGTTCCTCTGAAGAAACAGAAGCAAGCCTTCCTTTCATACCATTTTCCCTTTTATGCCATTCAAATAACAAGCCTACCCAGGGTGGGTCTATGTGTTCATTAAATTCCCTCAGTCACACCCAGAACTATGCTGATCCAATGTAGTTGGGCTTTTCTTACTCAAGCTGACCAATCAGTTCACTATCACAGCTTGGCACACCCCCATGAGAGACAGGTCCATTGCAAGAGAACTGTGGTTTTATGTGCAAGAAAGGAGACAACAGGCTCAGTGGAAGTCTAAAACTATCTTCCATCCAGGAAGACAATCCAGGGAGCAGAACAGCAGGGGACTGGGTGCTGTGAAATGGAGTAGTGTCCTAATGAGTGGTGAAATTCACGCCAGACCAGGAGGCCAATGGCAGAACTCTGAGGGATTTCCTTTAGCCTACTCAAGGAATGAGGCCCAGAGTCCAACAGGATCAGTGCTGAGTTAGGAGGGCTGGAGCTTCTTCATATTGTGGAGAGGAACAGCTGATCCATTCAGGGGAACAAGACCCTGAACCCCACTGAATCATTAAATCTCTTGGAATTAATACTTGCGGTGTGGCAACAGCAGTGCTCCCTGTCTGTGTATCAACTGTAGCAGCACCACCTGGGTGCACAGCTGGGACACAACGGCCTTTGGGCAGGACTGGAGGCCCCGGGCACTTATAAAGGGCAGGCACGCCAGGCTTGTGGGTGTTTATGTTTGTCAACACTCCTCTGTAGATTTCAGTGTAGCTGGCCAAGGCAGGCTTGCTCAATAGGGCCAACTTCTTCTGCTCTAATAAGCTGTTCTTCCTCTCCACCATCCCTACTGCCTGTGAGTTACATGGACCACCAGTGAGCCTGGAGCCCTGTGAGAGGCTGCCCATCCTGCCCCATAGTGGGGACAGAGTGGGTATGAACTTGTTCTTGCACTGTGCCTGGAATCAAACAGGTGTCACCTGTGAGCAGGGCCTTGGGCTTCGGTTGCCTGGACAGCCACCCCCTTGCGCATGGACAAGTGCACCATCATCCTATTATATCCCATCACTGTCATCTCCACCAGTTGGCATGGTGCCATCAAGACAGTGGAGCCAGGTCATGTCAGTAGGGAATGAGAACAGTGCAGTCCCCAGCCACCATGCTGTGTCAGACAGGAGGGCTGTGTAGGTGTCCCAAGGAGCGTCCACTGTCTTCCCTTCCGTGTGAAGGTCAACTGGTCTTGTGAATCCAGCTTCAAAGGAAGGTGGAGAAGGCACAAGCCCAGTCTAGAGCAGCATGCACAGAGCCTGGAGGAAGAGTTCCTTCTGGGACCTGGGCCATGTCAGCCTCTGCAGCTGACTAGGGGGGGTCACCTTACTTAATTTCCTGTAGGGGACATTCTTCAAGTCCCATCTGGCTTTGTTATTAGCCAGACAAGGTTAACACTGCGGGCAGGTTAAAAAAATCCCAGATCTTCTTAATTCTTGGATGTTCTGATTCTTGCATGCCCACCTGGCTGCCTGTATTACCTGGGGCAGTCACCATTCCCTGTGGTTCCTTTTCCATTGGGGAGGATCCCAAGCTGCTTCCCCTTCACTACTGACTTTACTACCCAAACTTGGAGTCTGACCCTTCCCTCAGTGGTCTGTAAGGTCTTTCCTAGTGGAATACCCATCCCATAATGTTCTCAGAGACCAGATCAGCACCAAATATGGAGTAGAGGGGTCCTCCCCCAGCTCCTAGATTCAATAATTCTTGTTTTACTTTGCTAATCTCATTCCATCCCTATCAGTAACTGCCTAGGACCCCAGAATATACTCTAGGGTACTGCAATCAGTGTGCAGTCAGCACCAGATTTACCAGGGTGATCGTCTTCCCCTTGAGCACTGGTGGACTGAGTTCTGCACAAGGCCTCTGGCCGCCCCCATGACCCTAACTCTGTGGAGACCTTGGCCTAACCCTTAATTACATGGACTGGATTGGGGGAGTCCATTTAGAGCAGCTGGCAATGCCAGAGCATGGGAATTCCTGCTGTTCCCCCCCAAGGTGACTCAGAGTGCATAGGAATTCATCTGTCTTTCTCTGGGTGCCAGCATGAAACCAATCATACCATACCACACCTGCTTTCTAGTTATCTGATTATTTTATCTGTTTCTCTTTTCTGGCAGGCTTTGTGACAAGTGGTACCTTGTCCTGGCCAGATCAGCAGTAGCTCCACCCACTCACAGATACCCTGAGGGAAGAGAGGAAAGGATCCTCCAGGGCATTTATTAATAGTTTGTTTTTCATTCCTGTCATGAAAATGGCTTTAGGTCCTTGAGCCACCTGTGGCCTGTCACATGCACAAATCTGGCAGAGCTTCTTGGGATTTCTCTGTGCTCTTCCGTGGGGTTCCTGGCCTGGCAGATACCCTCATTTGGCCATGCTTCCTTCAGGCTTAAAATGATCCGACCTATGTGGAAATGGTTTCCTTGGATCTGGCTGGCATTAGGTGGGCTCTGCCTCAGGGCCAGGTGAGCAGAAATAGTACTCATCTTGTCAGCTTCATTTCTCACCAGAAAGATGCCATCCCTCCCATGTCCTGGGGTCTCATCAGCCAGGCAGTCAGACTCTCACAAGGTTCTGCGATATGCACCAACTCTGCAGCAGTGCAAACCCAAGTAGTCTGTCCCACCAACATGCGTACCCTGCGCTTGGCTTTGCATTGAGTTAATGGTGCCATGAAAAGGCCAGGTTCACAGGCAGGGAGCCCATTCTCTATCACTTCAGTTTCAGGGTTTTCTTCATGCCTTCTCTCCCAAGGACTCCAGTTCTCGTCATCCCATTCGAATCTTCCAGGTTTCCTCCCTCCAGCTCCACAGAACTGCAAGTCCAGGTGTCTAACCCCGAGCCTTACTTTTCAAATCTCAGTGGGTTAGAGGTTAAGAGGGAGGTAGAGAGACATATATCTCTTCCAGTCTAACTGCACACAGCAATGGCCATCCCTCTGCAGTGATACAGTGGGGGTAAGAGAGAGTTAGCAAACAGCAGCTCTGAACCCAGCGATTTCATGGGGTCCTGGTACTCATGCAGAGGAGTGCAAGCATTTAACATCTGACCATTCCTGGCCAACTCATGACTAACTTTCCCCCAAGATCCTTCCTTCCCCTTATCCCTTTCCTGGATCTCCCAGTTGGCTTGCCAATCGATTCAGAATAGCTCCATCCCAGCATATAAGAACCGACTCCAAGGTGCTGTGAGACCAAAGAAAGAGAGGCAGACAGAGCCATGGTTGCAGAGTGAAATTTATTGGGGCCTTACAGACAGAAGCATGGTCCTATGTGGCAGCAAGACCAGTTGGATGCCTGCAATTTGGGTCAGAAAGAGGGGCATATTTATTGGTCAGGACAAAAGTGATTTCATTCTGGCTGGAACTGAGGAATTGGGCACATCCTTGCAAAAGGTCTAGTTGCAAAGCTCTGTGTATCAACCTTTTGGATTTATGCATTATAGTTTGCTGGGAAAATATGCAGGAAAACCGACTAGAGTCACTCAGGAGAGGCAGGATGGTTACAGCTCCAGATGGTTGCAGTCATGTCAAGCTGACGCCACACCTGGGTGGCCCCTGAACTCACAGCACCTGGGTTGTGCAGGGGAGGGAGCAGCCTGGGGACTCTATGTCTAGCAGGGACTGAACCACACTTCCAGCCGCTCCTCTGATAGGAGGCAGCTCCTAGCAGCCTATGGGGGCTGCAGAGGCACTTGTGAGCCACGAATGATAGGTACAGATGTGGAAGCCACTTCTGACTTGACACTTTCTGGCTGTATGGCCTTGAGAAAATACCCAAACCTGTCTGTGTTTCAGTTTCCTTTCCTCCTTTCACTGGATTGACCATTTAGGACAACTCAGTGTCTGGGTACTGTAGGTGGTGGCTTGGGACTTTTTCCACATTGAGCCAGGACTTCCAGGGATATCCTGTACACACCTCACACCTTCCAGCCCAGCCCCCCCCGCCAACTATTTGTCTGCCTGCACAGACCAAGGGGGCCCCTGGCCTTGACTTGATGGATGCTTTTCCAAATTTTCTTCTGCAGAATGATGAAACTAGAAATGCCTTGGCTCCTTTGGGGATTTTGTTTTGTGATTCCTGACTGGGAATACACAGAACACTTAGGGTCAACACATCAGGAATCACATCCAAAAAGGTGCTGTTTGGCCTAATACTTCTCAAAGAAATTTGGCTTTGGAAACCATTTCTTTAACACAAATCATTGGCCTGTGCCATGTGGTGTACTCATTCTGCATGGCCTGAAGTTCTAGGCTGAGCCACCCCTCCTGGCTCTCAGTGCCACTGCACTTGATTTTCAAAGGCCAAGCTTGCATGGCCCAGTCTTCAGGTGGCTCAGGGCCTCCTCACCTGCCACCCTTCTGATGGGTCACCCAGGTGCAATTGCCCCCAGACCACCCTCCCCTTCTCTGTTTGCCTGGGTGTGATGTCACCTCTGGGGCCCCTTTCCATCTCTCAGCACACACAGGTCTGAATGCCTTCAAGCTGATCTTGGGCCACTGGAACCAGGGCTGACCCAAAGCCTGGAGCTGTCACCCCAAACACCAATGTGTGGGATCCCATGGGAAAGCAGTGGGGTCAGTCAGGAGTCAGAGGTAGGGAGGCAGGGGCTAGGGAAAGAATTGTGGTTTTCATAGGAAGGGATGGTAGGAGGGTAAGTGGGCTTGGGACTGGCAAGTTTGAGTGGTTTCTGAGCTCTGAGGCCTGGGGGCTGTTCCTGGTATCTGGTTCCTGCCCAGGAAGAATGAGAGTAGGGACTACGGTGCCCAGAGTTCTGATAAAAGGGTGCAGAGGCAGGAAGAAGTGGCTTACAACTCTAGGAGTTGGTTCTGTGTGCATTCCTCCCTCCAGTCAGTGAAGCCCCAAGGGCCAGAACACCAAGAAGGCAGAGAACAAACACTCAGCTGACTTAGGGAGGAGGAGCTTTTGAGATGCAATTGGGCCAGGGGCCAGCTCTCTCTGACTTCCTCCTTCCTGAGTGGAGGTCTCATTGGGCAGCAAAGGGGGTTTCAAGAGCTGACTGTTTTCTCTTCCTCTTCCTCCCCCCCCCCCCAGCAGAGGGTCCTGATCCCTCTAGGCTGAGGCTCCTGCTGGCTATCTGACTCCTGAAGCGGCAGGTTACCACAAAGGTAATGTGACATCTTGCATGCTACACCTGTGAGCCACTGCCCAATGCAGAGTAGGCTCAGCCCCTGCTGGCATTTGTCACTAATGTGACCCCATGGTTTGAAGGAAAAACACCCTGTTGTCAAATGAGCTGAGTCTGACACAGTCTAGAGGCCACACACCAGGTGATGGGGAGGCAGGATGGCCAATAGAGACCCCCATGGCTCGTGGGCTATAAGCATGGCCCCTCTGGCACCTGGGCAGGGTGGGTGGGACCCACTGCCTGGGATGGGAGGCTCTAGAGTGGTGTCAATAACACAGGTCATGATAACACTAGACCGAGGGGGACTTCACATGTCAGGCTGACCATTCAGCTATATTTTCCAACTTCTATGATCAGGAAATAGCTGAGGAGTGAGCGAGGCCTCCATAGTGCAAACAGGACCAGGCAAGGGACAATGTTCACGCTTGCATCTGAGCACAGCAGGGGTGGAGGTGGGGCGGGGGTGTCTTCTGGGCCACTGGCTGCCAGGCCCTGTTCCCTGTCCTTGCAAGCACAGGCCTGGGGCTCCAACAGTGCTCTGTGCAGGGCCTGGATAGGGGACCAGGGTTACAGAGGTGTCCTGGAAAGACTGGCTGGCCCAGCAGTGACATCCTTCTCCCAAGAACTCTGTCCTGCCGGCGCAGCCCCAGTGGGTCCTGAGTCCTGAGGTGGGTGGGTCAGGTTGGATACTGGCCTAGCCTGCAGGCCTTGTCCTTCTTGGGCCCTGAGCTACCACAGATCTAGCTTTGTCTGAGAGTTCAGGAAGGGGCTGCCTTGGAGCAGCTGCCCTCAGGGTCATGCAGGGTGAACCCTGGGGCCAGAGCTGGACAGAGTTCCCAAGTGGGGCTCTGTTGGCTCTGGGGGCAGAAGATGAGGGGCAGCTTGGGGGATGTGAGCCAGACAGGGTGAGTGGGGGTCCAGGCTGAGGTGGCCTGGCCGGGGCCTAGAGTCTTAGCTCTGGGTCTGGTGGATGGTCACCTGCTCCCAGGGCCCCACTGCCTGCCAGATCTCAAGATGGGGGCTGAGCAGACAGAGTCTATGCAGAATTTGGCCATGGGGCCACATGCCTGCTGCCACACTCAGGATGGGGTGGAGGGAGTGGGCTCTTTCCAAGAAGACCCTGGAAGGGGCTGCAGTTTTGGGGCCCCTCAGGAGAGGTATCTCTGTCCCATGAGGCCAGATGGGAGGAATTTAGAGCTGTCCTCAAATCCTTGGATGCTGAGGGTTGGCTCTCTGGGAGGGGTTGTCCTGAGGGTTTCAGGCATACCTGTACCCCAGATGAGGCAAAAGGGCCTGAGGAGATGGTGATGGGGGCCTCTGAGTCAGCCTCAGTCCAGCAAGGTGCCCCCCTTGTGTAGACAGGGGTCCAGGGACTGACTTCAGGCACTGACAACTTCTGGATAGTTAGGAGCTGCTACTGAACCCCTCTGAGACTCTGTGTTCTCTTCTGCAAAATGGGAACCCTTTCCCACATTTCTAAAAGGATTTTAGCAAGATGAATACCTGTGAGATCAATTGGTGTTTTCCCTCCTGGTCCTTCCTGGGTCTGACAGAAGTGGGTGTCCAGAGCTAACAGTAAGATTTATGGACAAGCCATTTCCTTTTCTGCTCTCATTTCCTCAAAGTGATGATCCTGTCCTGGAGGTGGAGAGAGAGGGCCATGCAGGCTCTTGGGTGACTCTGGGAGGAGATAAGGTCTTTGGTGAACCCAGCCACCAGGATTCCTGGACCCAGACCTGCCAGGATGCACCCTAGGGCAAAGGCTGGAATGCAGCCCAGCACTGCCCGTGTAGGGAGCTAACAATGGAGCAGCTGACTCCAGAATGATGGGTAGGGGTCTGTGATTCAGACTCAGAGTGATAAGCTGCATCATGGCCGAGAGCGAATGTTCTTCCACCTTGAGGCACGGAGGCTCCCTTCTCAGGCACCTTAGTCTGGTCACTTGGCTCTCTTGTTTCACAGATGAGGAAGCAGAGGCTTGGGAAGATTGAGTAACTCACCCACGGTGACATGGGGGTGGCAGCAAGCTGGGTTCAGCACAGGCTAGCTGGCTCCGACTCCCGTTCTTAGCTATTCATGCCATGAGCAGACTCCTGGGTGAGTGGCTCTGGGCTCATCTCTGTGCCCCCTGCCTGCACCAGGGGAGCTCTCCCACTTACTTTGGAGAAGCCTGCTGGGGCAGAGGAGCAGTGGGGAGCTATCCAAGTGCTGAAGATCTGGGCTCCATCCTGCAGGGTGGGGCGGCTGCCAGTGGTCAGGGCTGCCCCAGCTGTAGGCTGGACTGAGGGACCTTCTGCCCTCAGCGTCCCCGTTGCCCACACAGCATGCTTCACCTTGGGATCCAAGGAACCTCAATGACTGCCGGTTTTTCTGAAGCTCTGGGCACAGTTTGCATTGTCCAGGCCCCATCTCACCGCCTTAAACAGCAGCACTTCTAAAAGCCCATCTCTGAGCCTCTCCATGCCTCCTTCTGCAAGAAAATATTAATGAGAAGGAATCTCTGCAGCCATGTGGGTGGAACCTCAAAGTGTCCCATCCATGCCAAGCCCTGCTCTGAGAGTTCATCAAGGAGATGTCACCATTTTCCTACTTAAACCCCTGATGACAACATGGTCACAAGGACTCTGCTGGTCACTGTAGACAGTGTGGTGCATTAGGCTTTGGGCAGTACTGAAACAGATGATATCCTGAGGGTCCACATTCATAGCTCTTCACAGGAGCCCAGGTGGGCGTGGCCCGTCACCAGGCACTGTGACTACTCTACTGGGCCCTGTAGCATCTGTGTCCCACATGCAGTGATGAGTCTTGGCTTGTTCTGGCTTCTATCAGGGTTCATCTGGCTGCTTGCCTCTCACACTCTGGACCAGGTGCCTGCTTTGTTCTTGGCCCCCAACAGGAGTCAGGCAGACTCTGCTCGAAGGAGGTGGTATAGGGTTCTGGAGGATCTTCTTTTCTGTGGCCTAGCTACCAAGGGCTTCCTGAGCCTCTCCTTCCTCTGGCCTAAGCCAGCCTCCAGTTTTGGGATGTTGGTAGCCTGCGGCAGAGGAAGGGGCAAGCGAACTGAGGTGGATCACGCTGTGCTCTGCGGTGGAGGTGTCTGCAGCCAGCAGGAGGGGAAGGAGGGTGAGCTAGTCTATCCCTTGTCTGTCTCCTCTCTGCATCAGAGGAATGTGCATGTTGCACGGCAGCACTCACAAGTTCCTGAGCGTGAGAAGGCACCCAGAGGTTTCCTCAAAAGCACATTCCTAGAGCCTCTAGAGACCTGGCCTCCAGTCTGGCCTTTCTAGCAACTTTCTGTGGGCCTGGTGCAGAGGGAAGGGAAAGGCACACCAGCAACAGTCTTCTTTCCAAGTCTTTCTGATCCCACTCTGGCAGCTCCCCCAGTTCCCCCAGGCTGGAGCTGCAGTCAGCAGCACTCACAGGGCCTAGGCAGTCACCTCCATGAGGCCCCTGTGGGAAGCTTCCCTCCTGGCCCTCATATCGGTCTCGTCCCCCAGCGCCCGCTGGAACACCAGCCGGAGGGGCTCGCGCAGCCCCCGGCCAGGAGCACTGCCCAGACAGAAGTAGATGGCAGGCTTGGCTGCACTGTGCATGCCAGCTGTGAGAAAGCTGAGGTGGTAGAAGTAGTGGGGGATATGCCAGTGCAGGTTCCAGGACAGCCAGAAGATGCCGAAAGGCAGGCCGCAGAAGAGGAAGAGAAGGACGGCCAGGAGGACCAGGGCAGTGAATCCACGGGGCTGGTGCCCATGAGGACCGTGCTCCATCCTCAGCAGGAGGAACAGGCTGGACACACACATGGCGCAGCACAGTGCAGCCAGCAGGGCTGCCAGCATCACCCACAGTGTCCAGCACAGGTGGCTGCTGGATTCCCCAAAGAACAGGGTGCAGGCACCAGTGAGCAGCAGGTCCAGAAGCAGGCAGAATGCCCAGATGAACGCACATACATAGGTGGTCATGTGGCGTGGGCGGCGGCACAGGTACCAGGCTGGGAAGAATGTGGCCAGGCACTGCTCCATGCTGATGGCTGCCAGCAGGCTCAGGCTTACAATGTAGCAGAGGAACCGGAGTGTGGTCAGGATGGTCTGGATGGTGCCTGGGAGGCCCAGCTGGCCAGGCAGCAAGTCGGAGACAACAGCCACCATGTGGCAGCTGAGGAAGACCAGGTCTGCGCAGGCCACGTCCAGGAGGTAGATGGAGAAGGGGTTTCTGTAGGCGTTGCGAACAAGCAGCCAAAGGACTACACCGTTGCCCAGAAGTCCACCAAGGCTGAGGAGCTCAGTGAGGAACAGGATGGCCAGGTTGAAGGCCACATCCTCCTGGATGCTGGGGGGGAAGCCCACGTGCTGTGGGGCTTCTTTCGGCTCCATCATCAGCCAGGTGTGAGGTCAGTGGGAGGCTGGGAGGCCGGGTGCTCACTGGGCTCCTTCTGTCTCTGGCGCCCCTGCAGCAACAATGACATCTGAGTTCTGAGCTCAGGAACCTGTGCCCTTGCCCTGTCCACTTCTGAGGAGACGGGGAGCTAGGAGTTGGCGCTCGCACATGTGTGTGTGTGTGATCTACTGAAGAAGGCACCCTTCTCCCATTTCGACTCCTGTCACCTGACTCCCCTTCCCTCCCTGTCTAATGCATACAAAGCTCCCAAGCTATTCTCGGGGGCAGGTCCCAGCAGGCCAGGCAGATACTGCTGGGGAGATGTGGGAATGAGGGCTGAGACCTCCATGGCTCCTGCTGATCCTTGAATCGGGTCTCCTTTGAAAGTGAAAGGCAGAGCTGTGCCCAGTGAATGGAGTGACCCTAGAGGGACAACTTGTCATCATCCCGAAGCAGCTATGAACTCGTCCAGGACTTTCTTTGACATTCTGAGTGGGGTTGTGGTCAGTGGGCTCCGGATCCTCCAGCTTGACTACTATGTGGCCATGGTCACAGCCCTGGAACCCTTTCCTCCTCCCCTTGCCGCATCCTTCCTGCCCCTTGACTGGGCTCCAAGCCTCTCGAAACTTGGGAGGTTCCCTCTTCCCTATCTGTCATTCTGTGTCCCAAAGAGGAGAAGAGGGACCTTCCTGATGGTGTGGCTGGGCAGAGTCCTAGCTTTCTGCTGCCCTGGCCCCAAGGTGGTTGGCTCCCTGGGGCCCTGTGTGCCGAAGGGGCTCAGCTCCATAAACCCTACTTGGCCATCAGCTGGAGCCTGGCTGGCTCATCACTGCAGCTTTGCCAGGGACACAGTGAAATACTGAACCTTATAGGGCTGTCCAGAACATGGCCTGAGGTCCACATGCAGTCACCTGTCCCCATCTGGGAACCTGTGGCTACCTGTTTCATCCAGCCTCATGTGGCTACCTGTCCTAGCCCATCACCTGTGGTGACCTGTCCCCATCCTGCCACCTGTGATTGTCTGTTCTCATCGTATGCTCCAAGCACTTGGTGCCCGAAGTTGGGGAGATGGGACAGGGCCTTGCCTGTCCCCAGAGGCTGGCTGTGGTCAGGGCTGAAGCCTGGGTGCCTCCCTCCTGCCTCAGTGATGGCTGGTCCTCTGGTCACCGGGGAGGGGGGGAGGGGGTCCCAAGCTGGCTCCTACCTCAAGGCCATGATTGAATCTCCTGTTTTCTCCCTCCAGGATGGGAGTGGCAGTGGCAGTGGCAGAGGCAATGCAGGTGATGGGGTAGGGATGGGACTCAGGGCTGAAGCCAGCCCTTAGAGAGGGGCCATATATTGAGCACAGTGGCCCAGGTCCTGGTCACCTCTTTCTCTCCAGACTCTCTGCTGTCGTAACTTGACCAGGGTGAAATGACAGGAGTTGGGTGGGCACTTCCTGGATCCTGCCACTCCAGGAAGCTGGGCCCTCCTGGCTCCAGTCTGGATCACTCAGCCTTCAAGGCCGTCAGGGTGGGGCCAAGCCCTGGGTGGAAAAAAACAACCCCACTCCTGGTAGGGTGCTCTTCGGACATCAGCAGGACCATGGAGGGCCTGGTTGGTAGGGTGGCTCTGCCTGAGCTGGCCCCTTCAGGAGACCTTGACTGGGGCTATGGGCAACCCTGCCATCATAACTGGGATGAGAACAGGACAGATGCTTCCCTGCTCAGGAAGCTTGGGCAGGGTTGCCACACTCCGGCCAGGGGAGGGGCAGAGTTTATTTTGGGAATATCTGAAGTCCACTGACAGGGACCTCCATCCCAGCTGTGCAGTCCTGCCCACCCAGCTTGGAGAGGACTCTGGGAGCAAGGGAAGCTCTGGCCCCAAAAGACTGGGTGGGCTTCCCCAGCCCTGTGACCCCCAGGTGGGGCTTGGCACCTCTCCACTGCCAGGATAGCTTCTTGCTTAACCTTGTGCATCCAAAAGGGAATGCACTGCCAAGGACCTCCCAAGGCTGGCTGAGGGTGACCCAGCCATGTGGGCCTCAGGGAAAGCCTGGAACAGAAGCAATGGATGGGGGGAGGGGGGAGGGTAAGAGGAGGTCCTAGTGGGCGGAGGAGGATAGGGTTGGGGTGGGTGACAATGAGGATACGGCTCAGTCAGGCCCTCTGGTCTCTCCACTGGGGCCTTGCTGAGAGGGGCCCGGTGTGGGACCATCTGCCCAACTAGAGGCTTGGGAGGGGGCTCAGAAGGTGGGGTCCTTACGGTGGGTCACAGAAGTCTGGGGAGTGGAGGAGCTCGGGAGGGGAAGAGAAGGGTAAGGAGGGGAGAGAGACAGAACAGGGAGGAAGGCCAGCTTTGGCTCTGTCACCAGCAAACCCAGGAGGGTTGAGAGGGGCATGGGTATGGTTCTGCTGTTGGCAGACGGGCTTTGGAAGCCCCACCCTGGAGAATTAGGACTGAGGGGCCGTGACACTGTCCAGGACAGGTGCTAGTGTGCGGCTGTCTCCTTGACCCTCCTTGGAATCAGGTCCAGCCCCGATCTGCAGCATGCGACACAGAGAGCACGGGGGAGACACCCAGCAGAAGGGGAGATGCTATGCAGCTGAGCTCCCCTCCAGGAACACAGCCTGGGTCAGAGAGCGGAGGATTGGCTGGAAGATGTCTGTCCTCTGAACAGTGTCACAGAGCGTCCGACCTGCCCCTCCCCCACCCGGCCAGCAGAAGAGCTTGCCCGCCCAGGAAAAGCCAAATTCCTGGGCTGACCCCAAGGCCCGGCCTGACCAGTGCTACTCACCGCTGAGTCCTGCCTGCCTCAGCCCCTGGCTGTGGAGCTGAGCTGGCCAGGCTGAGGGCTCCAGCCGCCAGGGCTGTGGGCCACTCCTGCCCGGCATCTGCCAGCCCCTCGGAGTCACATGGTGTCCGCTGCTGGGGAAGGAGTCTCTCTGGGGACCTTCTCCTCTGCTTGGCTGGGATCCTGCTCAGGCGTGGACAGCAAGAGAAGCTGGGATCCTCCCTGCAGCTTTCCAGGCAGGCCTGGCAATCAGAAGAAACCACGAGATCTCAGGGTGGAGCCAGACCAAGCAGTGACCTCACTGGCACTCCTGGCTCGGAGACACCACCCCAGGGGGGCTTTTAGGGTCCACTGCTCTCCACCCATAATGTGGAGCTTTCAGCCGTGTGCCAGGCCACCAGCGGCTCTTGTCCTTGCCATGAAAGTGTTTGTGTCTCTTCCAAGCCCAGAGGCTGCCAGCCTGGCCACTCCAGGCAGCAGAGTCGGGGGGGGGGGCAGGATGTGCTGGGAGCAGAGGGGCATGTGAGCGGAGACAGCGCCCTCTTCCCTGCCAGCCTCTTGCCCCTGGGACGTAGGATGGCTGGTGTCTAGCAGCTGCTGAAAGCACAATTCCTGGCAAAGGAGGATGGGGGAGGCCCAGACTCATGTTCAGTGATATCCTGTGAATTCAATGATACCTGCTTGTCTGAAAAGGGAAAAATCCTCTTTCAAACTGCACCCTCTGCTGCCCTGATGTCAGGGAGAGATCCCAGCTGCTATGCAGAGGCAGGGGACAAGTGCATATTTTGGCTTTTGATTCTCCATGAGCCCGAGTCTTAGCAACTCCTTCAATTTTATATTAGGAAAAAATCCCAAACTTTAGGAAGAGCTGCTAGAATCGCACAAATATGGCTACATGTTCAAGTTTCCCACATCTTGCTGTCTAGCTATCTATCTTTTGCAGAGCCAAGTTGGAGCAAGTTTCTGGCTTTGGCATTTTACCTTTATTTATGTCAGTGGACACCCTTAAGAACACCAGCTCCTTTATAACTGAGACGCAACAGTTACACTCAGGACATTGAATGCTGACACAGTGCTGGCATCTGATGTCCAGTTGTGCAGTCTGTTAAACTTTTGTCTCCTAGCTCTGCACCTGCCCTTCCTTGCCTGGTGTCAGCCAGATAGGCTGGGGCTCTGCAAACCACACCGGGGCTTGGCCAGCCATTCTCTGAAAGGCTCTGCCAACAGGGAGCACTGCAGGAAGCTACAGGAGTGGAGGGAGAAGGGTCTTATTCTTTCTCAATTTTGTTTCCTGTTCTGGCTTTTGCTTCTTTTTGCTGTCAGTTGCCCAGGGACTTTCTTTGCCTGGAGGCAGCGTTGATTCCAGCTTGTTTTCCCAGCACTTGGAAAACCAGCTCCTTGTCTCCCACCTGAGACACTGGCCACTGTGGGTTGGATGCTTCTTCTCAGAGGTCTGGGGAGAAAACCTCATAGGTTCTGTTTTTTCTTTTTTGGTACTTGGAATTGAACTCAGGGCCTCGTGGTTGCACTGCACTGCTGAGCTACATTCCCAGCCCTCCATAGATTTTGAGTATTAATCATTCTACCTTCTTCCCTTTGCTTGCTGGCTCTGGGGGTGGCCAGTCTTCAGTTGGTTTGTCTGTAAACCTTCACATACTCTTTTTACCCTTTTGAGTCTTCAATGTCTAGTGAGGAATTCCTTAAAAATCCATCCTGTCAAAATTACTTTAGTTGTGACTTCTTGGTCATCCTTGCTGGTGCTGAAATGGTTCCAGAAAGTGTCCTAGGAGAACATGGGAATTGGGCCGGAGCTGGTTGTGTTCTCTACTGTAAGGCTGGGTTTCTTGGCAATGGGAAGAAGTTGCTGGTAATCAACCCCACACCAAGGTGACGTTATTAATCAAAGGAGTACTCTTGATGCTTTTCGACTGAGGCAAGTGTCCTTGGGGACCATTTGTGGGACAGGCCATGTGGCAGTAATGAGGATCACCAGGACTGCAGCATGGGATGGCGTCTGGAGACTGCAGGAAGAAAATGACAGCTTCTGCTTCAGGCTCTAAGGGGGAAACCAGGGCTGGAAGTAATGTCTCAGTGTAAAAACTTTGTCTGTGGACTGGATGGCAGGTGGGGACCTGAAAGGGCAGTAACCATGAGGGGAGCCCACATTCACCCTGACTCTGTCTGCAGGTGACTCCTAGGCACAGCATGGGGAGGAGGAGATCAGCAGGAGAAGCCCCAAATGAGGAGCTGATAGGAAACAATGAGATAATAATGGTAATTTGTGAAGGCCCAGAAAATGGACCAACAACAGAGAAAATCAGTGAAACTGGAATTGGTTTATTTAAATATCAATAAAATTGAAAAACTTTGGGTGGATTAAGACGATATGGCATTAATGTTGGTAATGACAGCACCAAAGCCTGGACACTCAGAAGTGATGGTAGAATATAAAAACAAGGTGCAGACTGATAAATTTGGCAATGTTGATGAAATGGGTAAATTCTTGGGAAGACATAAATGAAAAAGGCTGTAATTAAATAAGTTGTGCTTGTTGCAGGAAAACGAAAAGTTCATCATGTTAAGCAAAATAAATCAGAGTCATGAAGACGAATATGATGTGTTTTTTCTTTCATATGTGGTATTAGAGAGAGAGAGAGAGAGAGAGAGAGAGAGAAAGGAGAGAATGAAAGTAGAAGGGAGACCTTTTTTTGAGACAAGGTATAACTATGTAGTCCAGACTGGGCTCAAACTCACAGGGATCCTCTTGTCTCAGCCTCTGGGATTATAGGCGTGCACCACCACACCTGGCTAAAAGGGAGACTATTACAGAAGAAAAAGGAATAGAGAGGGGAGGAGAGAGAAGTGTAAGGAGTAATGAGGGTGGAAATGATCAAAGTACAGGTTATATGTATGTGCAAATATGGCAAAATAAACCCATTATTCTGTATAACAAATACGAATTAATAAAAAGAGTTGTGCTTCTAATTGACTATTTTCTATCAAATCTCCAGTCCTAAATGGCTTCACTGGTGAGTAAGATAGTTAAGAGTAATAATTCTAACCCTGCAGAACTCTTTTAGAAAACAGAGGAGGAAAGGACACCTCCAACTCATTCAGGAGGCTATTATTATTCTGATACCCAAACTGGACACAGATATTATATGAACAGAAAACGACATGAGCATGGCCTCAAAGTACATAATAGAAGAAAGATAACGTAGGAAAAATCAGAAACCACATGAGTTCAGCTTAGGAATGATAAAAACTCATAAGGTCCAACTGCTTTTAATTTATTTTTGTTTGTTTTTGATGAGAGAGAATTTATATTAGTTGAATTGTTTGAACTTTCTCTTGCTTTTTCTTCTTGAAGTTTGCAAGAGTGAAGATTTAGTCTTTTGCATCATAGGAGTAAGTAAGGCAGAATAGAATGGTTGGTCAAACACTAAATTCCTCCTTGCTCCTTTCCCTTCACACTCTTCTTTCTAAAGATCATATTGCTTTCCCCTCTGCCACTGGAACCATTGTAAAGATTTCCAATGTTCCTCCGAGTGTCCTGGGCACAGTTTTGAGATGTCCAGGAGTTGTGTTAATTTACAATATATATCTTTTTATTATTTCTACATCTGCAGCAGTCTGGCTGGTAGTGGTTTTAGATAAAGCCTGGACTCTTTATAGTTTGGATCTTAAGTGTCCCCAAAGGCCTGTATTCTAAAGACTTGTTCCTGGTTTGTGGTGATATTGGGAGGTAGAACCTTTAAAAGGTGGGACCTAGTAGAAGAAAGTGAGGTCACTGGGTGTATGGCCTTGAAGGAGATTCTGGGATTCTGGTCCCTTCTTCTCTTTGTTTTGGCTTCCTGACTACCACGAGGTGAAAAGGTCTCCTCTGCCACGCACTCTGGCCATGATCCACTGTGCCTGCCACAGGCCCAAAGCAACAGGGTCAACCAACCATGGACTGAAACCTCTAAAACCAAGAGCCAAAATAAACCTTTCCTCTTTTAAGGTTGTTTTCTCAGGTATTTTGTCACAGTGATGAAAAGCTGACTGACTCTCAGCACTAGCTCTCTTCTGTTCTCTGAGCACATTCTCCCAACAGCCCCAAAATGTTATGAAGCCCATAAAGGCCCAAGGCCAGGAAAGAGAAGACAAGAGGATCTGGTGTTTGTTTTCCTATCTACAGATAATCTGAAGTCTGGGCATTTTCAGTCTTCCAATTGTGCCTGGGGTGGCTGTGATTTTATATTTTTTCCCTAGGTGCTTTCCTTTGCTGTTCTTTCATTATTATTTATTATTGTTTTCCTAGTTGAAAGTTGATGTATTTGTTTCAATGTTGGGTTTTTTTTGCAGTATGGGGATCGAACTCTCAGTCTTGTTTTAAAAAGCGGAGACAAATATTCCAAGCCTGTTAAAGAGTCTCCTTGGCACTGCTTCCAGTGCCTTCCATGTGTTCTCCTCAAAGTGCTTTCATCATCCTTCCCTCTTAGAAATCCTGAAATGTTGGTTTGTAGTTCTTTCATCTAAGGGTTGTTTAGGTTACTGCCTTCCCCTTGTGTGGTGAGCTGGGTACTGCTTCCCACTCATGCAGCATGACAGTTAGCAGTTTATAGTGTCATCAGCAGTCCTCTTTTCACTTCATGTCCTGGCTTTAAAACCTGCCACCCATGCAAGATGCAATTCCACTGGGTAACATGCAGCATTGTAGCACTTTACGGTACATGAAGAGCATTTGTTTATTTCTAATTTATTATTCATTAATCCCAATGGTGGGATTATCATCCTCACTGGATGAGGAAGCTCAGAGAGGGAAAGCAACTTGCCGAAAGTCACATAGGTTCCAAGGGCAAAGCCATGGTTTGTTCCCAGGTTGTCTGACGTGGAGGTTTTGCTCACTCAGGTTAGTAAGGCTTATGCTGCAGCTCATAGCCAACATCCTGTTTGTTGGCAAGAGACTAAATTCTATCCTCCTAAGACTGAGTCTCTGCTCTGGCCACTTCTACTTAACATGACACTGGAGGTCCTAGTCAATGTAATAAAGCAAGACAAAGAAATGAATGGTGGTACACACCCATAATGCTAGCACTCTGGAGGCTCAGGCAGGAGGCAAGTTAGAGCCTGGTCTGAGCAATTTAGCAACTTAGTGAGACCTTGTTTCAAAATTTAAGAAATAAAAAAGGGCAGAGGATGTGGCTCAGTGTAAAGATTCTGTTTTCAATCCCCAGTACCCCCTCCCCCCAAAGCTAAATGACATATGGATCAGAAAGGAAGAAGTAAAAGTATATTTATTCACAGAGAGCATGGCGTTCAATACACATAATATCAAGGAGCTATAAAAAAAGCTATC